GAAGGAGTTTCTGTCTCTTAGGCACTGTGAATAAATCACAAGTCACAGTCCATGGCAGTGCTGTGGTGGCAGTTCACACAGCCAGCCTTGTCCTGACTTTAAAAACCAGTCTGGGTAGCCCTCACAACCTGAGATCTCACCACCAGCTAAACTCATTACTTCTACGCAGCAGTTCAGGCAGATCTTGCAGCCTGATGATGTTGTTATGGCTGTGCTGCCAGCAGTGCCCAGAGCAGGGGGCACAAAGTTAACATAAAGACTACAGGGCATGGAAAGACAGCAGAGACTGAACGTAACTCTGACTGATGAGCCTCTGCAGAGCCCTAGCTATAGAACCTTGAGTTAATTACAACTCAACTAGGTACAGTCTTAAAGATTCAAACCAAAGCCCTAAACTTTGGTCAGAATGACATTAAGCAGGGGAGGCAAGTCCTACCACAACCCAAAACATGATCACCCTGTTTAGGAGATGAACTGATCTACTTTTGTTTCACAAGAGTATTTGGGAAATATTCAACACCTAGTCAGCTCTGGAAGCTGATACATATTTAACAAACTTAATAGGTCCTGAGGCTGAGCAAACTTCAGCCAAACAGCTTTTAAACTGAAGCTCAGCAGTTCTAAAAAATGAATCTGCTGGGAGAGAAGAGTTCAGAGAACCTTATAGGAACCACATTTCACATTGTCTTAGCTGGCACTGTAACAGATTTCTCTGGTAATATATTCAGCATTTCTTGTCATCTCTGTGTAAACTGCTCTGTCTGTTTCTCTAGTTACAGACTTATTTTTTTAATTCACGACCCAGAGCACATGCCCTGAAATAGATTTTTTAATGATTTCAGAAAAGGATTGTGAGTTTTAATTCTGGAATTTGCTTTGTGCATAATATTTTTCTTTTTTTTCCTTTGTTTTCCCCACTTATCACTTTAACCTAGCTGAGAAAGGCCAACTAAGACATTACCATTTAACATCCTGAGACCGTCACCTGATGTGGCCTGTTTAAGCGCCTGTTCCACTTGTTCTCTTCTCTTGGATTCAAATTCCAAAGCTTCCTGCAATTTTCTCTTTGCCTTTTTTTCTTTCTTCAATCGTTTCTGAATTGTTGCTGAAATGTAAATATATTTTAAGAATGGCTGTTAAAGCACAATATATAATGGAGACAGTGAATGATTTTAGGTTCAATATTGAAGAGCCCAGTTCTAGCTCAAAAAAGACAAATCTGGCATCAATCAGATAGAACAACAAAAACACCCCAAAGCATATCCTGTAGTGAAACAAGGAACAACCTGAAAGGGCTTTAGATCTTGTTAAAGATCTTAAATCTGCTTCTCAGTCTGGGACAGTCCCATGGATTGAAGTCTCCTGACCAGAAGGTAACAGGCTCAGAGCCAGCCCAGTGGCTCATATTACACAAACTTCACCAATTTGGGCTAAATTCCAGCTCCAGTTCTGCAGAGTTTGGTTGAGCAGATCATTGGCTTAAGCTAATTTCTAGCAACTGCAGCAATGTTCATCCTCAAATCAATGTCTCACACTTCATTCTAGCCTTTTTTCCTTAATGCTGAGTTACATGGCACCTCCTCCTCCAGTAGTTTTATCTAGAAACATCATCCAAGCACAGAGGTCCCCTGACCACTCCTCGTGGATGCAGGAAGGCTTGTGAACCTGTTAGAGACTGGGTTTAGTTATATTTTATAACCTTAAAAGGAAATGAAATCTGTTTTTGCAGGTGAACTGTGTGCAGTGTTGGAGAATCTGCAGTGTCAGCAGCAATGGTGTACTAAGTGAAGGCCCATGGAATCAGGTGGTAGATTTTCTGTTGAAACTGGAGCAGCAGATGGGGGAACTTCAAAGCAGAAGTGAACTAAGGAGATCCACTGGCCAAGGCAGAAGCCAGGTGAAAGGCTACTGAGAAGCTGGGTTAAGGGGGTACATGCTGAGAGGAAAAAACAAATGCACAGAGAAGGGTGTGTACTGAGTAACAGGTGTTTTTACACTATCACTAATGGGAGAAAAAAAAGGGAAAGCCAAAGAAGGGAGAAAAAGAAAAAAAAGCATTGGGTGTATGTTGAGAATCTCAGGGAGAAATTAAAAGGGTCCTTCTGAGGTAGAAAGCAGGTTGAAAACAAGCTTGAAATGTGGATAAAGTATAGTATCTTGATTAGCAATTTCTGCTTTTAATTGAAGCACTCCATGAAATAGTGGATTGGCTGTTTGGACTTAAAATAGGCAACAAACAACACTGCAGTGTCCTGTACAGCTCTGCAGTGCATCTCAGTGCTCTCCACAGGAGCCTCAGCTTCTCTCCTTACCAGGCACAAAGCAGCAACTGCCTGGACAACCTCATCCCCCAGGTAAGATCTGGCAGGGAACAGAAGTGTTCCTGACTAATCTCAGTCTTAAACTCAACTGTAAATACAGTTAAAACTATAACTTGAGAAATGTATAGTATTAATTTTAGCCAGATGATCAATACCTTAATTGGGAACTGCAGACATTGGCTATGGTTGTATTGCCTCACCTATATAAATACAAGCAATAAAATGTACCTTTTAAGCCTTTTCCTTTTCAAACCCTCAATCTTAACCCCATATTTAACCTTATCATTCACCAGCACCAGGCTACCATTAGTTGGGACAGAACTACATCTAAAATACCTACCTTTACCAACAGCAACCCTTCCTGTGCTCCTGCTGGCTTGCAGATTGTCCTTATTATTGTTATGAAATTATCTTTTAGGGCTCTTACACTTGTCTTTTCACCAATGCTGCACGGATACTTTTGTGGGTCTCTTCTTTGTATGACCTGCAGCTCCTCCCTTCCCTGGTCTGAGCTATCTGAGAGTCAAGTTTGCTAGTGTGTACACTCTAGCAAGTGCTGCTCACAAGTAGTATTAAAATTACAGTAATTTATACAAGCAGCATTTTGCAATCCCTTTTATTAATGTGCTTGTCCTATATATTAGATACCTGTGAATTTCAAACAAAAATATTAGAAAATTGTCTAAGAAAATTTGGAATAATTATTGGAAAAGGCACAGTATGTAGGTAACTTTTTATGACCACTTGTTCATTTGAGTTCTTACTGTCTTTTACAGATCCCTCTGGATTGTGAACACTCCAGGGGAAAAGAAAACCTCTGAGACAATAAATTATGAATATCAAAATGTGATCTGTAGAGCATAACTTTGGAACCCTGAGCAACCCATGTGAAAAAGCCTATCTCTGACTTTCTCCAATAATAATGAGTTGGATGTGCACATGACCTGGAAGATTCTCTTTTGAGCCAGAAGCCAAGGAAGACTGTGAATAGCATAAAGGTTTTGCTGACTGAGCTGTGACTGCAGCAGTGCACAAGGTGCTGTCTGCCTACATGGAGGTAACTTGTTAGCAGGGTTACAGCAGTCCAGTCTCATCCCTACTGGGACTGGACTGATCCAACAGTTCTGAATGCCCACTGAAATATAACAGCCTCAGTGACCCTTCACAACTCCACCTAGAAGAGACTTCTTTGGTTCTCTTGCCTTTCTCTGTTGCCTCTTACCAAGAAGTGGTGCTGCAGACAGCTCTGTCCTACACAATTCAAAATGCACAGGAAGCCAGTACTTGGCACCTACATTTTTGGTCTTATCTAACTTTATCTTTCTGATTTCATGGATGTAATCTAGAAGTTAGCTGTGGGGCATGTCAAGTGCTCTTCCTCTCCTTCAGATGCAGATTTGAATTTTAAGCAAAATAGCACAGCGAAAAATTCAGATTTACCAATTTAATTGCCTATTATTATCAAAAGCTTCTAAACAGTCATGGTTTTGTCTTAGAAGGCCCCACATGGGAAGTGCTATTGTATCTCATCCTCCCACTGGAAAAAAATATAATTATCTAGGGTTATTTGCTTCAGATCTTGCACTTTGGTGCAAGTTTCTCATAGTTCCAGCTATTTTATTACACTGAAGTTCTCTACAAGAGAAGATAACAGACTAGCACCTAAACTAAGGAATGTGGGCTAGATAAGTAGTAATGAAAAAAAAATAACATAAATACTCGAATTACAGACGTACTATCTTTCTCACTGGTCCTCAGTTGGAGGCTAATAGCAGAAAAGAAATTAAAGCTGTCAAATGAAGAAATCAGGCCGGGAATACACAGACAAGGTGGCAGTAACACCAGTGAAAGCCATGACACTGCATCAGCTTTCCTCCACAGAGCCAGCCCAAACGCTCTGCAGCCAGTTGCTCTCCAGGAAATCCTCCTTCAGCCACAGTTCTGTCTGTGTACAGAGAACTGGGCTTCACTCTGGTTTGATGAAATGTAACTCATTACCAGTCCAGCCCTCTGCTGCAGTACACTGACGTACAGATGTCACTTACCTCCGAGTCCTCAATAGCTCCAGCTGGAAATGCCAAAGGGTTATTAATTTAATAGGTATCTACACTCCATTTTTCAGTCACTCACCTCTGCTTTGCAGCTCAGCTGTGAGTTGCCTTTCCAAGCTCTCTCTTAGCTCTCTCTCTCTGCAAAGCTCCATCTTTAACTCTTTCTTTTCCTGCTGTATCTGTTTTTCCTGGACTCTTGCATTGTCCACAGCCACCTTCAGTAGGCCCTAAAACACACACAAATGGAAGGTCTGAAAATAGCATTTTGTTTCAGCAGTGAAATAATAAATTTTTATTATTATTGTTATTGCTTTATTATTATTATTATTATTACATCCTCTAGGAAGACAAAAAATAAAGCAGGAGCCTATAGACTTGGAATGCAACTGGGCATTTAAAGGAGCTAAATATTATCTATGAGCAATTTTGTGACATGGAATCACTCAGTATAGGTTTTGCTAATTCATCCGACTGATGTGGCTTTTCCCAAATGGAGTGCCAGATCATTGCTGACCTCAGAAAACTGCAAGGAGAAGCAAAAGTGGAATAATGAGACTGGTAAATTTCAATATGACCATTAGTGCCATCTATTAATTCAAACAGACAATGTCTGAAACCCTTTCACAATTGATAACATCAGAGAGTGGAAACCTAAGCATTACATTAAATAAAAGAAATTAGAATTGCAGATAGAAAATAGTTTCTGAAACTTTTCAAAGAGATTCAAAAAGAAACACATTTTATCTGTAATGATGTAGCCTGGCCCTATAGAGAGTAATTTACCTGAATGTTGGTTAATAGTGTTTCTACTGATGAAAGACCATCAGCAAAAAGAAATGGCGCCGGAAATCCAGGAGGCAAGGCCTGTCCAGCCAGTTGGACTTTATCTAAGGTTGGTTTCATTATGGGAATGGCAATTTGGACCTCTTCTGTAAAGATAGGTTTAAAAGCAACATCAGAAAGCATTGGAAATATAGGTAGGTGTAATTTCTAGAAACTAGCATTCTGTTTACCTGGAAGTCAAAATACAAGTGCATTAGTAAAGCTGACATCGGTTCAGTCTTTGGGCAGCTGTTACTGTTGCTAAGGAAAGTTTACAAAACAGTACAAAACAATAATAAATACATTGAAGACTATAACTTAGCTGTAACACAGACTCTGCATCTCAAATTCTACAGAATTATTAACAGTATTACCCAGTTCATGAAACCTGAACGACCTTTCTTCATTTGATCATGTTTGCCATTCTGTGATCTGCAATTTTTTGCTGCTATAACCTTGACAGAATTCTAATCAAGACGTGCATCCCACATCTCTACTCCTGTCCCATTCTCAGCAGTGAATAAACCCCTGAGTCATGCCCTCCTGCTTAGCGAGCACCAGCTCCACCTTGTCAGGGAAGTGTCAGCGCAGGTTTCTTAACGAGTACCTTGCTTCTGTCAGCCTTTCTAGTCACAGGCAGCAGCCTGAAATGCTTTCCTGAGTTATCTCTACTGGAGGCATGAAGAGAGCTGGGGGTAGGGGTGACACGAGTGGCTGGAGAGGAGAAGGCATCCAGCCCAGGGCTCCTGCCATTCCCTGCACAGACCCAGCTGCCCTGGGAACGGGCCCTGGGAGCTCCCCCTTCCTGCGCGGTTCCAAGGAGATCATGATGCTATGGAGCAAGTTGTGCCCAGGCAGGAGAAACGTGCACCAGAAAGAAGCAGCAACGTTAGGAAGTATTTTTCAGAAATCCTTGAATTGTGTGATGAATCATTACTGCCACCAGGGAACTCACAGTTCTGAATAGGATAATTTAAACATATTTTAGGATAGTAAGTGCATCTCTTTCACTCAGGTCCCTAGAAGTACTCCTGCCTCACATATTCATGGTAAACATGAAGTTAATTGCTGCAAACCACAGAATTCAGAGCCATCAATCTTAAAGCCAAACTGTGAACATTTCTTTTACTCTGAAATGCTAAAAAACCCTACTTCTGTGTAGCATTCCAGGGAAACTCAAGTCTATCCATACTATGTTCTGGTGCTTGCAGAAATAATGAGGAATATCTTCTTAGCAACTGCTTTTTAGTACTGCTCAGAAGTTCATGATGTGTGTGTGTTCTAAGTGCAACTGCACAGCCAGTCCTGATAGTTTCATTTGTCCTATCAAAGCCAGGATCTACAATTAGACCACACCATATTCCAAAGGCCTCCTTCTCCTACCTCTCTTGTTTAAAAACAACCCACAACACCTCAGAAAGAATCTGACAACAACAAACTAAACTAGGGTGTCTCTACAGCACTGCTGTTGCCTACTTTAACTAACTCCAGAAGCATCTACTGAGCAGCAAGCGCTAAACACACCCCCTGACAACAAACCAGGAGCACTGGCAGTTTTCAGGTATTCTTTGAAATCTGTGTTTGGGGAGTGTTGTGCTCTCAGTTTGACAGTTCATTAAATGGAGCATCTTCATAATGATTTGTCAGGACTAATAAGAACAGCCAGTAACCTCTACACATCTTCATGGCCATTGTTGTAGAGCTGTGTTCAGAGAATTTAAATGATGCATTTTAAAAAACTCAACAACTCTGGTAACATACTCAAACCATGGAGTTCATGCCGATTCAAATACACCTCTTATTTAAATATCTTACATCACTGACAGAGTTTTAAAAATAAACTGATTAGTTGTTGCATATGATGCTATACAGAAATAGTACCTAAGGCATGGAGTCACAAAAGACTAAACCAAAGTGGAATTTAAAAGAGAAAGGGATCCATGAAGTATGCACAACAAAACTAGGGCTGCTTTAAAATCTCTAGAAATCTCCACTATTTGGAGATGAAAATAATAACATTAAATTGGCTGAAAGGAAAATTACTATTGACTGTGAAGACAGGTTGCATGCTCTATGGTTTGTAATGTTACTGTACAGCAGATTGAAGTTTCAAAATAGTATTACTCTTCTTTAAAGAGATAGACACAGCTAAATTAGGTGCTGCTTGCTGCAGTGAGGATCAAATGCAAAAAGAATCATATTTCATCAGACCTAGTCAACACCAGGAAAATAAATAGAAATATAAGAGGTATGCAGGCAATGATTCATTTTGATAATCTGGCCCAAGAGAGACACATAGAGACAGCACACAGATCTAAGCTTCTACCAAAAGACAAATAGGACACAGAGGGTGGGAATTGGGATGACAGTGTAGCAGAGGTCACATCGATTTTCAGCAGCAGTTTTCACACAGATGAGATAACCCTGGACTCTATTTGGCCCATTGTTCATATCCTACCTGTCCCAGAAGCAATAAATTTCCAAGTCCCAGAAAAAGGGCAGTAAAGAAGAAGGATTCTACTTATGACTTCTTATGATTAAGTTTTTGTGCTAACCAAACATGCTTTGCAGACCAAGGTCACATTGCATGTTAAAGTCTGTAATAGCTGGAAACTAGAAGCAGCATATTATGTTCTAGCGTATATGGGTGGAAACTGTCAAAACCATTCATCTTTTTTTTTTTTTCTGATTGAAATCACACTCTGCAAAGAAGAATGATAAATGCATTAGAAATCTATTTCAATCTTGTAATAGGTCTTCACATCTGAATGGTGTCTACATCTTACCCATATTCTGAGTACGTGCACAGTTAGGCAGAAATTTATTAGCTAGACTGGAGAAATCATAATTGGTAAAGCAATTAAAAATGGCACATGTTGGAAGCATTTCTTGTGGATTGTATCAATTGCATCTCTTTAGTAGAAAAGAAGTTGATTTAAGCATTTTGATTTTAAAGAACACTGAAAGTATAAATGCTAAAGGCTGCAGTCACACATACAGTACAACAGAACAAGCAAGAAATAAAGCTAGGACAACTGCAATCTAACCAAGGACACAAACAACCTTCCTATTTACTGGAGTAAAGTGCAAACTACTTTTATCGAGCTTGTTTGTTAAACCTGCCACACTTTATAATAGCACTCAGGAATCCATTTAGAGTGTGGTCTTTTTATTTTAATTTCTAGCTGGCATCCAGATGAATAGAGGAAAGCAAGAATTGTGTTGCAGAGAAAAGCAGCACACAGCAAACACTGACAGTGAATGGGACATTATCCCGGGAAAGCACATGGAAATCTGCTAGAACGTTTCTTGTTCTTAAGTTCAATATCCTGAAGTGTTTCATCTTCTGCCTAAGTTGTAGAAACAGGCATTGGAAAAAGAAGCATCAAGCTGGAGGCAGCCCTGGGAACACAGGGAACACGAGTTGCTCCCTGCCTGACAGAGCCTGCCCCAGCCAGCCCGCGGCTCTGTTGCCAGCTGGGTTGTTCTTTCAGGAGGCCTATAAACCCTTCAGTCACATGCCTGAGACATTTGACGTGTTGCACCTCTTTCAAAACAAGTTAGAAATACTAAAGCTACAATTTACATCTTGCCTAACACCAAGTTATTTCTTCATGTAACACCTCATCTGGAGCTGTATAAGCATTATCCACTTCATAGAATTAGAGCTCATGCATAAAAAATACGTTGCATTGTGGAGAAGAGAGTAGTAATTTATACAAAATGTATGTTTATTAAACGGTTAGTTACTAACCAAGATATTTGATCTCAGAAAGCCTTCAGCCAGCATTAAGATGACAGTTCTGGACACAGATGGCAGCTAAGTCACTCCTTTTCCCTGCCTGTGGCACACAATTCAGAAACCTAAGGGCTAAAATGGTTTATTGCAATTATATTTCTTTGAGCTTTGTATCTGACTGGTGGGGATTACATGTAATGGGCCATAGTTGCACAAGAACAGCCTAGATACTCTAATGGGACTTTTGTGACATTTAATAAAATAAAGCAGAGGCTCTGCACCATCAGCTGGGCAGTATGTTTTCGTCGTCTCTGAAAATAAAGACACATTTTTATTTGAAATTTATTTGCCCAAAGATTTTATAGAATCTGATTAATTTTTAGAGTAGCAAGACATCCCTTGACTTCCAGTTCAGCTTCTTCACCAACAAGTGGTAGGCAGCAGTATTTTGACAGAGCACAAATTCCAATTTTTGACTGCAAAAAGAAGTTTTCCAAAAATGTGAGACTTCTTATTTTAATTTTAAACCTTGTCAACTTCTGTGTTGCTTAACTAAAATCTAGTATATTTATTTTACAGTAAATATGAAAAGTCTGCAATCTGAAGCATTGTTTATTTAAAATATTTTCTATCTGGAAGCCTGCAAGGACAGGGTTATCTGTCTTCGGTGTCTTAATAACGCCGAAAATCCTCTGTAAACCTCTGCCTGCTTTTATCTCCCTCACCCATTGCTTCTCTGCCAGGAATTGAGCACTCCTGTTCATCAGTGAGAAAAAAGATACCTCCTCCTAACCTGGCACCAATCAGACCTAGAAATTTACAGCTTTAACCTTGTGATTCAGGTGCCAAATTTAAAGTTGCTGCTGTTTTTCTTAATTACAGTCCCTGAATGAACAGGGTCAATGAATGCAATTGGGGAGTAGCTGATTAATCCAGTGCACTGGCTTTAAATCAGACTTTATTTCATTTTCAAATGATTGATACAGCTTGATAGCACATGAGCATTTTTCACGACTGAGCTTTGCTATAAAGAAACTTCAAAAATAGTGTCTGATCTGGTAATTATATATACATTTGCAGGCTGCCTTAAAAGCTTTTGGAAATCATCCCAAACCAGTAACACCAATATCCTCTGCTTCACAGAGTCCGTGTCTCAGCCAGGCACTCTGCAGTTACTTCACTGTCCTGAAGAAATGTTTAATATGTGGAACATGTCTCTTACATTCAGAGCAACGTGCTGGCTTAGGAAAAAGTGAGCATTTGGACTAGTAAAAGAAGGGAAAGCAAACTGTGCAAGCAGTGCAATCACCACTGTTCCACAGACCTGTTCTCAGGGATGATGAGGGAGTGTTTTCCTGAGGACATCAT